CGGATGACTTGATGCTTTTTGCAAGGGGTGATGCGATGTCCGTTGAAATTCTAAGCAATTGCCTTGACAAATTTGGTTTAGCACCGGGTTTGAAGATCAACACCACGAAATCCAGCATCTACACAGCTGGAATTTTTGGGTACGAGCTTATTACTGGTAGTTGAGTTTGTTCCATGTTACTAATGGCTGTTCAAGGAGTTGAAGGAAAATAGTTGTTTGTATCACAAGAAAATATATGCCCAATATTTTGGCAGGACTTCTCTTAAAGTCAAAAGTTACCTTTGAGATTAAGAAGTTAATTTTGAATTTGTTTAGATAATTTTTCGAAAGTGCTTTATTTGACTATAAGAGCTTTTACAGAAAGTTAATCTAAAATAATTTGCTCAAAAAAACTCTTCTACAATAAGCAAAGCTCATATCAGACAACCCTTTCCTAACGTTCCCGCTTGCTTTATTTCACACTCAAAAATAGCTTGCTTCAAAAAGAGAGCAACTCAACAGCTTCGTGGTACCCATAGCCAAAAGGAGAATGCACGGATAATTAATTTAGTGAATGGCATAAATTAGGCGAAGAGGCTGCGTCTACCTTTTAGACTGTTGTGAAGTGTTGAATTTAAATTGTACACACAAAGAGTCTCATGAAAATATTCTAGTGCGACAATAGAAGCAATGATGATACTTAATTTTACGAGCAATATCAGAACTGAAAATATTACAAAATCATCCTCAGAATTTTGTGGTCTAATTGCTCTAACATCTTTCTATGACCACCGTAGACAAGTCCTAGGCACGAGAAAATTGTGTAATTTTGAGTTCCAATCTTGGAAAGGCCTCCCAATTTAATGGGCTTATTTCAACTTGACAATTTTAATTTTAAATTTTTTTCCTTTTTTTTGGGTAATACACATTAATAAGTGCTCTCCTCTCCTGAATACAGGAGTTGTCGATCTCATCTGTTAAGTTACACAAGTTACAACAGCCAAATCAAACAGAAAGGTGATTGACCAAATTGCCCATCTCCGACACTTAAGCTTGCCATCAATCCTAGTCTGAAATTCCGAAAACTTTGAAGCTATGCACTGTGCTTCTCAGGTGACATTGTCATTGCTGCTGGTGTTTAAATCTTGAAACAAGGATTTTGCAGCTTCATACGTTGACCAGCAAATTGCAGCAGCCGGAGCATGGAAAAGCATCCTCGGCATCCATCCTCTCATTAGACCAACATATCCATCTCTCTTCACTATTGTTCGAGTAACATCCCTGATCGAACCATTAACATATCTATCGCATCCACAAACGCCCTGCATAAAACCAATAGATTAAAGCCATTCGACCCGAATTTTTTAAAAGTCAGTTTTTCCAAAATTCATTTTCACCCACAAATTTTAAGGGACCCACAACTTTTCAACTACACGTTTTATCAACTTTTATCAAAATCTACTAACAATATGATTTTTAGTCAAACCACACAGGGGTTAGTAACCACAAAGTTCTTTAAGATTCGATTAAAGAGAACCTATATTAGAGCATGTAAGAATGTTGGCTAACGCAGATAATCAGCAATTTCTGCAGGCATCATAGCAGGGGGAGTGATGTATAACCTAACAAAACACATTATTACCTCTATAATGCAAATACTTGCTACATATTTTCAGCTAATAAAAAGTAAAGCTGATACAAAAACGAAAACAAATCACCAAGTCACCTATGCAGGAAAAATTGCAGGATGAGCAAAAACTACACCGGAGACAAGAAAGAAACAATTTCAATTTCAATTTCAATTTCTCAAGTTTTCATTGATTATCCCATCAAACCTCTTCTTCTAGTTTAATCCACCTGCTTCTCAAGACAAATCACTTGATAATAAAATCCTTATATCCAGAATGCCCTTTTATTTTAGCTAATTTCGATGGGAAAGTGTTAAAAATGTTTCCACATTATCGATCAGTTAGTTATCACATAAATCAAATGATGGAAGCAATATGTTGAAGTCTAAATTGCCGCTCTTTGTTCTTTTGCTGCCGATAAATTAAGTCCAACTTTCATGATAGGAGCTCTTGAATACAGTTTCCAAATTAATCTCCACACCTTCCAAACACAACATTTCACAATCACAGGTTCACCACTACTCTTAATGCAAAACGAAATTTAAACAAAAACCAATTTACATTTTACCCATTAAAACCTACAACCCAACCCTTCACCCTTCTCCACCACCCAACCCCTTCGTACCACTGTCACCACCTCACCACGGTCACCTTCTCACCTACTGCAGATGAAACCTTGGATTAGTCCAAATCTGCAACCTTTTGTAATTCCTCCCCAACTGTACTCAAACTCATTTTCACCTAATTCCTCCTCAACCATCCTCAAACTCATTTTGAGAAGCTATCTCTCTAGTCTCTACAGTAACACTTGGGGATCGAAAGCTGCGGAATAAGCATTGACTTCCTGTATCATACTAGAGCTAATACCCACGAAAGATTGGAATTGAAATGGGTTCAACAACCGGGACCCACCACCATTAAACACCAAGATAACTCTACAACTGCTCGCCATCATTAGAAGGAAGAAGCAGAAAAACAGGGAGACAGAGAAGAAAATGATAAAAGATTAAGAAAGAAGTAAAAAGAGGGTAAATACATAACTTATTGAGAGACGCCTCATCTAAATCCCTTTCCACAACTCACATAAAATGTTGTTGACAATCATAAAAATATAATCCCAAAAAGGAGAAGTTCGAAATATAAGAAAAGTAATAATCAAACACAATATATGTAAGACATGCAACAAACAAAGGCATCAAAACCTCGTGTAAACCTTATCGTCACATTTGAGTCTTGGTTTAATCCATAAAGAACACATTCAAGGCAATATCTTGAAACAACAACTAACAGAAGGTTCATTAAATCATAGATAGGTACTTAAGAACAATTTTGACAGAAACCTAACTCAATTCATCAAAGCCTAATCTCATAGTTAACTGAGTCAGAGATCCTCTTTCCCCCTCAACTTCAAATTACATTATTCCATGTCATTTTAGGTCAACCTCTACCATATGATAGTGCTATTATTAATTTCATTACTTTTCCTTATCGATATATCCAACCACCTTCATAAGATGTGCCCAAACCATATCAATCCATTCTCAAGCAATTAATCCTTAGAGGCTATTATTTTAACCAACTTACAAGTATGCTTATTCTTACTCCTATCTCTTCTTGTTTTACCAAAAACTTCTTTTACTTTCACGACTCATATAAATTCAAATTATTATAATTTGCTTCCCCAATATTCAATCCCATAAAACATAGATGTCCAGTCCAGTAGTTTTTTTACTGTGACCTTCAACCAAACAAGTTCCAAAGACAAAACCACTTAGTCTTATAATCCCTGACCTCTGAATAGCATCTCAGACGTCACACGCTATGAATAATCAATTCCAAGCATTGAAATATATTTTATGAGCTCCATAAACTAATACATCCCCAAGTGTACTTGTACCTGAACTAAAATTACACAAAAAGTACTCGGTCGTACTCCAACTAAAGTTGAAATCTTTACCTCAAGATGCACCTCCAAAAGTTCACTATTTCAGCAGAATTATAGAGACTAATACAGTAATATTTAATATTGTCCCTACCATTGTCTCTAAAAAGATTTTTAAGGCATCAAGGCACGGTTACTCCAATTGAACCTTGGAAAACAGCAAAGATCATCCTATTTCTATTGACTTTCACCAGAACTTGCAAAGTGAAACAACAAAGATAACTGTCTCTCATATCTAAATTAGCATCTCTAAGATTTCTTTTTCATTTTTCCAAGACCAACAGCAAGGATAGTATAGTACATGTCACACTCCAATTCATTTCCAAAAGGAGGGGAAAAAAATAAAAAATATACCCACCTCGTGTTCTCTACATATCCAACTTTATACACTAATACCAAGAACAATTATAGTTTAATTACCTGACACTGTAACTGGGTCTTCACAACGTCAAGTGGGGTCGTAACTGCAGCAGCCAATGCTCCCGCCACAGCTCCAGCCGTGGCATGAATCACCAACCTCTCATCGCTCACACTTTCTGGGGACACCTCCATCAAACCCCTTTTTGCTGCCTCATAGGTGGCAAAATGAACTGCAGTGAAAGGTGCATTCATTAGAACGGTGGTCCTATAAGACGCATAGAAGGCTCTAATTCCCTCCTCCCTCAGCACCCTCTTTACACAATCCCAAACCCCCGTATAAGGACTACTACTCAATTGCAGCCTCTGCTTAACCATATCCATAGGAGTAAATACTGTATCACTCGCAATAGTTGCAAAAACCCCTGACACAGCGTGGGCCAGATGATTATTTGGATTTCCACGTGAAAATCTCTTCTTACAAAATTCATAAACAGAAAAATAAACGGCGTGGGCTGGACCAGCGCCCAGACCCATAGCTCCGATGCCACGATAAAAACCTATCGGCCCCTCAGATTTCAAGATAGATTGTACGGCCTGTTTGACGCTCGCGGATTCAACAGGGCAAGAGACCATGGCTTGCATCTGCGTTTTGATTGTATCAACGGGAAACATTGCCATGTGCTCCACCATGCCCGCGATTGATCCAGCGATCATAAACTGCCAAAAGTGGAGGCCGTCATGCACCGGCGAAACTGTAATTTCCGGGTGGTAGTCGGGCGGCTGAGGGACCTGTATCAGGTCGGATTTTTTGAATTTCGGCGAGGCGTCGGTAGCCATTGAAACTAGTAAAGCCACAAACGCGCTAGGGTTAGAGAATCAGGTCCAGATTGGGTTAAAATCAGTTATGCCGTGGAGAAAGGTTTAGCTAGATATGGGTTATAGAGGATTAAAGTTAAACGGATAGCCGGTGGGATACCGATTACGTGGTGAATTGGAAGGTTGGATAGTGGTCAAAATGGGGAGAATATAATAATGTGTGAGTGGAAGATTTTGGATTCAAGGTGTTGAGAATAGAAAGTTCAAACTAGGGCTCCAGAAATTTGGGGATTTTGCTGTAAATTTTGAATATTAAATTATTAAATATAAGTTAACAGCAGCTATAATAATTTCCGCTCCTGAATTTGTT